GCAGGAATGGCTGACCTTCACTGAACGTTTTCCTGGCATTCTATCAGTAACCCCTCATTGAATCCTCACAACTATGAGGTAGTTGTGGTGAGCCCCATTTTACAAATGAAAGAAATGAGACTCAGAGGGGTTAAGTAACTTGCCCAAAGTCACACAGCTGATAAGCCATGAACCAAATTTGAACCCAGGCAGGCTGGCTCCAGATCCCTCACTTCTAACAACTACGCTATCATTGAAAATGACCAAATCTTTGAAATCACCAAAAAGCTTTCATGGAGGTATCAGAATTCATTCCAAAGGTAAGGGCTCTGGGAACTAACTGCTGTTTTAGGAAAAGGGTAGGAAAGGGTTTGATAAACAAGGGAACACTGGCAAGAGGTGGCCCTGTGACCTGAGCATCCACAGTGTGGCAGGACCAGAGACAGAGACACACCAAGCACATGGTGTGACCTGTGACAGCAGCAGGCGCAGGGCTTGGGAGGCCAGAGAAGGAACATCAGAGCTGAATCTTGGTGATGGAAAAGGGACCCAGCAGCCAGGCAGAGTTCAGATCTCATAGACCTCGTCTACAGGGGAAACGGTTCCTGCAGTTTTGCAGTAAGGTCCCTTCTTAGGTCAGGAAGAGCCCTCAACCCCAAGAGGCCCCATCTCACCCATCCCAGCCCCACACCTGTTCTTGAAAGCGTTGTTCACGATGGCCTTCAGCACCAGGCGGTCCCCAACCTGGGACGGTCCCCGGAAGTGGAACATCTCAATGGCCTTCAGCGTAGGGTGGGCACGGCACAGCCGGCTGGAAGAGGCGGGGGTCAGGGGGACAGGACAAATGCCTCCAGTGCTTCAGCCACTGGCTTGGGCCAGCCTTCTCCTGCTGCCCCCATCCCCAGACCCAGCCCAGAACCACAGGTACCACCCTCTGGCCCACCCACTCCCACCCAACACAGTGACAGCTCTGCCCAGAGGAAGAGAACTAAAGTCCAATATCACAGCTTAGAATACTGAGGTCTACGTGCGTAGCTGGAAAAAAGCTGAATTTGAGGTGACATAGGAAAGGGCAGGGCTCGCGGTAAACCTTTTCCTTCTAAATTTTACACCCTAGCACCTGCTGTCCCTACTATCTGGAAGCCCCCCCCCTTACCCAAAGCTACTCGTCATTCAAGGCCCAGATGAAGTACTCCTCCTCCAGAAAGCCTTCCCTGACTATCCACACTCTGACCCTCCTCTGAGATCTTATTACTCTCATAGCCTGGGCTGCCCAAAATAGCATTGCTTATGTACTGTGTCCACAGGTTAAACACAGAGGAGGGGCCATTGGAGCTGGTCTCTAAAGGATGAGGAAGAATTTGCCTGGCTGAGGAGAACGTGGGTTGGGGAGGGCACTCGTGGCAGAGCGAACAGCAAGTACAAAGTCATGGAGGTATGAGAGTGTCAGTTAGTGAATGTCAGTTATCATAACTATAAAAACAAGCCCCGATACTTGGAGCAGAACAAGACCCGGACAGGCACAGAGGTTATAGGAAAAGGAAGGAATTATTTCCACCTCTAGGGAGAAGGGAACAGTGAAAGAGCCTTCATGGAGGAGATGGGCAGGATTTTAGCAGACAAAGAATACTGGAGTTGGCATGGTGGGAAGCCAGCCAGGAGTGAAGGTGGGGGATGGGAGCATGGAGGATTGGAGGGGGAAAGGTAAATGGCTTGATTTGCAAGAAGTGTTAAGATCCAGGAAGCAAGCGAGCAGGGCCAGGGCAAGGGGAGGCCCTGGTGCCAGCCGGGGGCCTTGGCATTTCCCATGCCATGATGGGAACCACGGAAGGAATGGTGAGCTCACAGAAAATCATTCCTCTCTGGTTCTCTGGGTCTGAAAGAACAGCCAAGCTTCTGAAGCCTTGAATGCCAGCACCAAGCTGGGGTTTCTCCCGCAGAGAGGGCTGGCCGAGGGAAGGAGGAAGAAAAAGGAGGGGAGGCACAGGCAGGGCACTTCCCTCACCTGGCTGCAATGGTGGCCACGTTCTCCATCCAGGCCATGATCTGGCCCCCGAAAGTATTGCCCTGGTGATTGGCGTGTGGGGGCAGGACCAGCTCCACACTCTCCACTCGGGTCTTCTCGGCGGGCACCATGCGACTACAGTCTCTGCTCTCCAGATCTGACCAGAGAGGCGCAGAGGGAGGGAGGCGGGGAGGTGAGAAAATTCCCAAGGGCAGACCCTCCCCATGCGCAGCCCAGGACCCCCATGCCCACCAGTCCACCCCACACAGATTCTTTTATTTATTCAGCACCAAGGAGGTGCCGTGCATCTCCCATCTCCCGGGGTGGGGAGAGCTCATCAGGGAAGGCCTGCGAAAGAGGTAGCCTTTCACCTGGCTTGCAGGCTGCTCAGAGATGCCACAGGCAGGGAGGAGGGGAGGTTGAAGGCCTGAGCCAAGTTCTGGAGACCAGACAGGCAGGACAGTCACAGGGAGCAACGAGGCCTTGGCTTAGCTGGAGCTGAGGGCAAGTAAAGGGACAGCACCAGATGAGCCTGAGTGGTCAGCCAAGGGCCCAGATGCGAGGCTCAGGCATTTGGACTGACGCTTGGGTAGAAGGGCTGTCAAGACAGGAGGGATCTACAGGGGCTGCAGTGGGATGGATGGTTCCCGTGGGCCTTGACAATTGCAGAAAGAGCTGGGCCTGCCCAGCCACGGCCTCCGGGGCCCAGCAGAAATAACAGCACATGGGATTCAGAGCACAGCTCACTGCCTTCACTGGTGTTTGCTACCTCTGCCTGCTCTCTCTCCACTCTGGGCAGCTGAACTACCCTTGGTTGGTCCTAAAATTGCCTCCTTTAGGTTTCAAGGATGACTCTGCATTCTAGTGTTCCGGACATCAGTGAACAAATCCAAGGTCACCCCTCTAGGCTTTTGCCCAGCCTGTGCCCTCTGTCAGAAAACCCTGCCTCACCTCTCCACCTGTCAAAATCCTCCCAGTCCAAAGTGGACCTTTGTGTGCTGGTACAGGACACTCTCCAAGATATGCTTTAAGGGGAGAGAAGCAAGATACAGAACAGTATGTACTGTATGTTTACTTTTGGGTAAAAAGAGAGGGCAAACTGGTACGTAGTGTGCTTAAATATGCAGAGAATACTTCTGGAAAGATGCCCCCAAATGACGAACAGTAGCTGCCTCTGGAGGGAGCCTTGGTTCTGGGGTAGAAGAGAGTCTTGCTTTTTACTCTATCTCTATGCCTACACCTATCTCTATCTACCTAGCTACCTATCTGTTTGTTTTTTGAAAAGTCCTAGGGTTTCAAGGCCAAGCTCAACACTACCTTTCCAAATATCTTGACTCCTAGAGACCCAAATGCATTTAACGGATTAAAAGGGTTTTCTGTATGTCCCAGCTCCATCTTCATGGCTCCTGGGAGCTGGGCGAAATGTCCAAACGCTCCCTTTTCCCCGAAGGAACATTGAGGCAAGAGGGCCATCCAGGCCTGAGGCCACCCGTGGGTGGACATCCCAAGGAGACTCCCTTCCTCCCTCTGCTCAGTAAGGGCCCAGGACAGGGGGGGCCATGCAGGACATGGGCTGCCCTCCACACGCACGGCGCTCACCATCCCGAATGACGCAGCTGGCCAGGAGCTCCTTGATGGTGTCTGCGTAGACCAGCCGCATGCGCCGGCGCTCGGCTGCCACGCTGTGCTCTGTCTTCTCCTCCTCGGTCCGCGGCGTGATCTGCTTCAGCTTCACCTGCGGCAGGGGGTGAGGTGGGGGGTGCTCAGGACAAGCTTCCTGGAATAGCATGAGAGCCTGTCCCCCAAACGGCCATCTCACGCCTGGGGCTGCTGGATGTTTACAAGTCTTGCCCCCTCTTTGTCCCCATCTTCCATCTCCCTGTTGACTGATACATCACTTTCATCCTCCAGCGTCCCCGTCCCAATTCTTGGGCAAAGGCACTGTGGATGGGGGTTGTTGATGCAGGACATGGGAGGCAATGGAGAGAACTGGAGGATCCTGTGGTGCAAGGTGCACAGGGAGAGGTGGGGAAAAGCAGAGCGGGGAGGCGCCTGGGGTTCAACCACAGCACGGGGTGGGCCTTCTTCTGGGGATTCCCTGCTGTGCCCCCACCTCTACCCCCCCACCAACCCCCAGAATCACCACTTAGACAGGCACCCAGGTGGTCCGGCAGCATTGGGTGGTCAGGTGTAGCCACCTACCTTGGAGAGCTCCCGGTGGGCCACAAAGGTGGCCAAGGCCTTGCACACGCTCCACTGCTTGTCAGAGCACAGGTCCTCAGAGGCCACCTGGATGCCCACCTGGAAAGGAAGAGCAAGGTGGATGACTGAGGAGGGAGGAAAGAGAGCTCACCAACCCGAGGTCCCGCAGGTGGAGACAGCAAGTCCCACCCCAGGCCTGGCCTCTGGTGCTTCTGTATCACCTACCAAGTCCAGGGGGCTAGAGACCTGGGGTAGGTTCTGATTCTGCCCCTGGCTCCCTGGGACACCTTGAGCAAGTCACTTCCTTTCTCTGGGCCTCAGTTTCCTCATCTGTAAAATGGGAATGATGAGGCCCTCTTCCAGAGCTCACAGAGCCCCATGCATCCCCAAAGAGTCCTCCCATTAAACCTTCAACAACCCTGCCGCACAGGAATCATGTTCCCATTCTACAATGTGCAGACAGAGGCTGTGGGAGGTAACCTAATGGACGGAAGTCCAGCGCCCTCCTCCAGACCACTGCCTTCAGGGTCAGGCACAGCGGCTATTTTCCCTGTATTCCTGAGACCACCTGGCTGCTGAAGAGAGGGTCTGAGACTAGGTGTGAAGACCCAGGAGGCTGGAAGTCAAGGCTCACATTGGAATCTACATGGCTTAGTGACCTGGGGCAAATCCCTTCCCCTCCCTAGCCTCAGTTTTCCCTTCTGTATTATGGATATTGGACATTGCCCTAGAATCCCTCCAACCCTGCCAGCTGTTTCAGAACTCTGCTGCCTCAACTGGGGCACTGAGTGTGAGTGTGCCCGAGCTGGCGGCTGAGAATGAAGAGGAGGTAGAAACCCACCCACCCACCTGCTCACCTCCATACTGGAGTTGAAGGCCCGGTTCACCTTGGCCTTGATATTCACCACTTGTCCAACACTGAGGAGAGAAAAGCAGGAGGTAAGCCTTCCAAGAGGGGACAGAGGGAGACAACAGGTGTCTCTGCTGAGAGGAGCTGGCAGGAGAACATCACGGCATACAGAGCATATTCACATCTACCATGTCACTGAGTCCTCGAAGCAAGCTGGCAAGACAGTGTTAGCACCTCATTCTACAGGTGGGGAAGCTGGGGCAAGAGAAGTGGCATGATGTCATTCATCTCCCCCTTTCTCCTGCTTCCCCTTGTCCAATGAATGCTCAAGCTACTCTTTGCTCTCAGCTCAACAGTCCTTCCTAAGGAAAGCTCTCCCTACCCTCCCGGAGCCCCATAAGGTTCACCCTCCTAACACTTCTTCCAACAGATTGACCTCTGTCTCCCCCACAGTCCTTAAGCTCTGCTGGGGCAAGGATCATGTCTGTTTTGCTCACCACTGAATCTTCAAGTCCTTGCACATGGCACAAGGTAAGCCATGAATAGTGGCCTACTGAATTAATGAATTCCACAATTATTGAATGCCTACTAAGAACAAGATAACTATAGACACAGGGTAGGAAGGGAAAGAATACCTACTATGTGCCAGGTACTTTGCACGACCTCATTTGAACCTCACAACAAGTTTGGCAGGTAGGTTTAGGGGGGACTGAGTATCAGAGAGGGTAAGCCATTTGCCTAAGGTCACCCAGCTAAAGATGGACAGAGCCAGGATTCTAGATTGATTCTACTGAGCACCCTAGCCCTGCTCTTTCCAGCTGCAACTGGCCCTCTGGAGTGACTCCCATGTCCAGATGAACAACAGAATCCCTGAGCGAGCCACTTTGCAGCCCTGTGCTGACTTTTTTTTAAATTAATTAATTAATTTATTTATTTATTTATTTTTGGCTGCGTTGGGTCTTCATTGCAGCGCGCAGGCTTCCTCTAGTTGCGTCCAGCGGGGCTACTACTTGTCGTTGCGGTGCACAGCCTTCGCCTTCTGGTGGCTTCTCTTTGTTGTGGAGCACGGGCTCTAGGCACGTGGGCTTCAGTAGTTGTGGCGCACGGGCTTAGTTGCTCCGTGGCATTTGGGATCTTCCTGGACCAGGGCTCAAACCCGTGTCCCCTGCATTGGCAGGCAGATTCTTTTTTTTTTGTTTTTGTTTTTGTTTTTGTTTTTGTTTTTGCGGTACGCGGGCCTCTCACTGTTGTGGCCTCTCCCGTTGCAGAGCACAGGCTCCGGAAGCGCAGCCTCTCCGGACGCGCAAGCTCAGCGGCCATGGCTCCGGACGCTCAGGCTCAGCGGCCATGGCTCACGGGCCCAGCCGCTCCACGGCATGTGGGATCTTCCCGGATCGGGGCGAACCCGTGTCCCCCGCATCGGCAGGCGGACTCTCAACCACTGCGCCACCAGGGAAGCCCGGCAGGCAGATTCTTAACCACTGCACCACGAGGGAAGTCCTGACTTGTTCATTTCTGTTATTATTATTATTTTTTTAGTAGTTCTAATAGTCAGGTAGGGGACTATCATTTTTAGGAGATGCATGCTGACATATGGAGGGATGAAGTGTCATGATGTCTGCGACTTACTTTCAAATAGTTCACACAACAGTGATACTGTGGATTCCGTTCCAGACCATGGCAGTAAAGCAAATATCGCAATAAAGCGAGTCACACAATTTTTTTGGTTTCCTGGTGCATATAAAAGATACGTTTACACTATACTGTAGTGTATTAAGTATGCAATTGCAATATGTCTAAAAAGCAATATACATACCTTAATTAAAAAATACCTTCTTGGGGCTTCCCTGGTAGTGCAGTGGTTAAGAATCTGCCTGCCAATTCAGGGGATACAGGTTCGAGCCCTGTTCTGGGAAGATCCCACATGCCACGTAGCCACTAAGCCCGTGGGTCACAATTACTGAGCCTGTACCCTAGAGCCCACGAGCCACAGCTACTGAGCCCACATGCCACAACTACTGAACCCCATGTGCCTAGAGCCCGTGCTCCACAACAAGAGAAGCCACTGCAATGAGAAGCCCACGCACCGCAACAAAGAGTAGCCCCTGCTCATGCAACTAGAGAAAGCCCGCATACAGCAACGAAGCCCCAATGCAGCCAAAACCAAATAATAAATAAATAAACTTATTTAAAAAAAACAACTTTCTTGCTAAAAAATGCTAACCATCATCTGAGCCTTCAGCCTGTTGTAATCTTTTTGCAATAGTAACATCAAAGATCACTGATCACAGATCACCATAAAAAATATAATAATGAAAAAGTCTGAAATATTGCAAAAATTACCAAAATGTGACAGAGACACTAAATGAGCCAATGTTGTTGGAAAAATGAGGTCAATAGATTTGCTTGATGCAGGATTGCCACAAACCTTCAATTTGTAAAAAAATGCAATATCTGCAAAGTGCAATAAAATGAGGTATGCTTGTATATATCCACATACAGATAAAGCAAATTTAGCAAAGTGTTCATTATTGACTCTCAGTAGGGATGATCACAGCACTATTCAACTTTCTATAATTTTGAAAGTTTTCATAATAAAAAAGTAGAAAAAAAAAACTTCCCTCATCCCCCAAGTAAAAATAAGTCTGTTTTTTGCAGTGCTAAAAAAAAGAGAAAGAAGTTTATGACCCTTCCCCTTCCTCCTCCTCCCCTCCCCCTCTCTAGCCCCCCCCACCCCCACCCAAAGCCAAGCAGTAACCCATTTGGACTCCCAAGCTTCTCTTCCTTCCTGACTGTCCTCCATCTCACAGCTCAGGCCAAAACTGGCTCCAGCCCCAGGGTCAGTGCCCAGCCTCCTTGGGGCCCCCTTCAGGCTGCTAATTTCCCAACACCCCTCCAGAGGCAGCTCCAACAAACAAATGTGATCCCTGTTCAAGCCCTTCCCCATGACCAATTTACTAGCAGGGGACAGAGGAACATGTTAAATGACACCACAGTGTGTGGTGCTAACAGCAAAACCCAGATGATGAAGAACTCTAGAGAACAAATAACCAAGTTTCTTCAACAAATAAACTTTGGGCTTCCCTGGTAGCGCAGTGGTTAAGAATCCGCCTGCCAGTGCAGAGGACACAGGTTTGAGCCCTGGTCCAGGAAGATCCCACATGCCACGGAGCAACTAAGCCCGTGGGCCACAACTACTGAGCCTGTGCTCTAGAGCCTGTGAACCACAACTACTGAAGCCCACACACCTAGAGCCCGTGCTCAGCAACAAAGAGAAGCCACCACAATGAGAAGCCCGCGCACCGCAACAGAGTAGCCCCCACTCGCTGCAACTAGAGAAAGCCCGCGCATAGCAACGAAGAGCCAACACAGCCAAAAATAATAAATCTATTTATTTAAAAAAACAAACAAACTTCAAGAGAAGACAGATAGAGAGGGAGAGGGAGCGGGGAGGAGAGGGTAGATGGAGAGGGTGTTGTGGGGATATGTAGGACCTATGGGTTAAAAAAAGACTTAAGAGGGAAGTCCCTGGTGGTCCAGTGGTTAGGACTTGGCACTTTCATTGCCGGGCCTGGGTTCGATCCCTGGGCGGGGAACTAAGATCCTGCAAGGCATGGCCAAAAAAAAAAAAAAAAAGATTTAAGAAACCTAGCAACCAATTGCAACCTGATTTGCATCCTGACTTGTGCAACAAAAATAACTGTAAAGCAAAACAAAAGAAAAAAACAAATTCATGAGACATTGTGGGCAACTGAATGCTGACTGGATATTTGATGTTAGTGAGAAATTGTTCATTTTCTTTAGGTGTGGTATTGAAATTATGTTTTAAAAAGTTCTTATCCATTAGAGATACATTTTGAGATATTTTAAATTTTTTTTAGAATTTTAATTTAATTTAATTAATTTATTTGTTATTTTTTGGCTACGTTGGGTCTTCGTTGTGGCGTGTGGGCTTTCTCTAGTTGCAGTGAACAGGGGTTACTCTTGGTTGTGGCGCGCAGGCTTCTCACTGCAGTGGCTCCCCTTGTTGCGGAGCGCAGGCTCTAGGCGTGCAGGCTTCAGTAGTTGTGGCATGCAGGCTCAGTAGTTGTGGCACACAGGTTCTAGAGCACAGGCTAGATGTGGCGCACAGGCTTAGTTGCTCCGCGGCATGTGGGATTTTCCCAGACCAGGGCTCAAACCCGTGTCCCCTGCATTGGCAGGCGGATTCTTAACCACTGCGCCACAAGGGAAGTCCTTTGAGATATTTTTAAATGGCAAAAGCAAAAACAAACAAAAGAACCTTCCCCAGGGGCTTCCCTGGTGGCGCAGTGGTTGAGAGTCCGCCTGCCGATGCAGGGGACACGGGTTCGTGTGCCGGTCTGGGAGGATCCCGCATGCCATGGAGCGGCTGGGCCCGTGAGCCATGGCCGCTGGGCCTGCGCGTCCGGAGCCTGTGCTCTGCGACGGGAGAGGCCACAGCAGTGAGAGGCCCGCGTACCGCAAAAAAAAAAAAACCTTCCCCAGCTTTCCTCAGGTATGGCCAGGCCTTTCCTGGCCACCAATCATGCTCCAGGTCCCTTCCCAGCTTACCCTCCTTCCCAGGATCCTCTCCATCTTTTCCCCCCACCCACACCCTCCTCTGCCCAGACTCACCTCCACTCCACTGGGTCCCACAGCGTGTCCATTCATCATGTACACACCCCACCCCAGCCTTCTCTATCCCTTGCTCCTCCAAGTGCCAGATCCCGTGTTGGCAACAGAGACCCAGAGCTGGCCCAGACACGGCTCCACTGGCCTACAAATTGTCACTACACACAGTACTGGAGCGAGCTCAAACACCTCCTCCAGGAAGCCACCCTTGACTACCCTCTGTGCCAGTCACTATACCCACCCCCAGACATATAGGCAATGAGGCCTGTTTGTTAAGAACAAGGACTCTAGGGTCAGACTGCCTGGCTTGTAGTACGTCCTGGGTTCTCCACCAGCTGTATGACTGCAAGCAAGTTACTTCACTTCCCTGTGCCTCCGTTTTATCACCTGTAAAATGAGGGTACTAATAGCCAGGACTTCATAGGGTTGTTCTGAGGACTTAAGTTAATTAAAAAGACATTACAAATAACGCATCAATATTGGCTCATTGTGACAGAGGTACCATATGAATGTAAGATATTAGTAATAGGGAATCTCGGTGTGGGGTATATGGGAACTCTGTACTATCTACAGTGTTTTTGTAAATCAAAAACTATTCTAAAATAAAAGATATTTAGAAAAAGTATTACAAAGCACCCATATGCAGAGATCATTATTACCCTGGAATTCACTGCTTTGAATTGAAATTATGTTTCTATATCTGCCTCCCTGCAGTCTGGGAGCTCCTGGGGCACAGGGACTATGTTCCAGTTGGCTTTGCGGACCCCAAACCCAGCATGGGCCCTGGTCCACAAGCAGTGATGAATGACTAAATAAGTGAATACAGGGACTAGCCAAACTTTTTCCTTAACCACACTCGTGGGGCACCAGGAAGTCCTGAATAAGTCCTTGGCACTTGATGTCCTAGGCACTGATAGTTTAAGAGCAGACCTGGAGGCCAAAGCACTGTATGCAGCCCTGCAGCCTGTCCTGGGCAGAGGGCTCAGCATGCTCCTTGGGTCCCAGCAAAGCTGTGCAGAGACAAAGCTCAGCACAGTGTAATGAAGAGTCTTCTAACCAGTACAGACAGTTAAAAAAAAAACAAAAAACAAAAAAACCCGAAAACCCAAAAAACCAGGAGGTAATGAGTTCCTCATCCCTGGGGGTACGTGAGCAGAGGCTGAATGGTCCAAACTTCTGGGTCAGGCTCTGCCAAGGCACCTTATCTAGGGACCTCCCTACAGTCTGATGACCAATGACCCACAGAGAATGTCCAAGCTCAAAAAGGCATTCACTGATTAAGTCTAACCCCTTCCAGTTTGAAGATAAGAAAACTGAGGACCAGAGAAAGAGACTGCCTTCCCCAAAGTCACACAGCACCCCATGATACTGCCTCAGCAGCACCCAACTCCAAGCCTGGCTGAGGGAGCTGCCAGCCACAGGGCAGCTTCTAGCCCACCGCCATCCCAGAGACGTTGCAGACGAGACGGGTCACTGCTCACCAAAGGCTGCCCCCTCTCCATCTGCAGAGGCCCTCAGTCAGCTGAGGCAGGTTCCAGGCAGCACACAGGCTGAGCAGGCAGTAGATGGGGGAAGGGCTCTGGGCTCGTGGTGGGGAGACCAGAAGCAAGGGCAGGAGGGGCCACTTACCTAATGGTGTGCTCAAAATAGATATCGTCCATGGAGGCTGTGACGCAGGGGCAGCCAGCATGCCTCTCCGCTGGCGTCAGAAGAAAGCACGCGTTAGCAGCCTCCCCATGACCCAGGCCTCTGATCAAACGTCAGACCGCCTAGCTAAGGCCTGCCTCCTCGCCCGTGCTCCCACCCTTCTTTACTTTCCTCACCATGATAACGACACCCTGACCCTGTCTTACATATCTGGGTTTCGTCTGTCTAGTGCCTCTCCCTCCTGCTAGACTGCATGTCACTTGAGGGCAAGGATTTTTGCCTGTCTTGTTCACTGCTGTGCCCCAGTCCTGGAGCAGCACCTGGCACGCAGGAGATACTCAATAAGCCGCTGTCAAGCAGCTGTCGAATGAATGAATGATCACACCATGCTATTCTACTTCCTGACCTCCTAGAGTGCCCGTACCCCTGTCCGGTCAACCTCACCCACCTTTGTCTCCTTGCCTGAGCCATTCTTCCTCTGAGGACTGTGCTCCCAGGCCTTAGTCCTTCTAGAATCCCTTCTCTGCCCCTAGGGCTGGGGCAGAGCCTCTGGTCTGTTCTCCCAGAGCCCTGCTTCCACCTCCCTTTCCCAGCTCCTATCAGACAGTGCTGGGGGGGCAGTCAGTCTCCTGTCTGGACCCCCCATCAGAATGTGAACTCCCTGTGGGCTGGAGAATACTGGGGCACCAAAGGCAACGAAATGAGCTCAATCCAGCTCCACTCAACTCTACACAATGCCACAGGCTTTGCTCACAGCCAGTCTCGGGGCAGCCACATTGAAGGCCGCGCTGTGTCAGAGCAGGGACCTTAGGTTATAGTACTCAGACCTCTGGGCGCCTCCGGGCAAGAGGCTGGGCCCGAGCCGAGCATGGAGAACTTGAAGAGGGCATCGCAGGCAGGTGGAGCAGCCTGAGCAAAGGCTGGGATGAGGGAGGAGGCTGGCACTCGGGGACGGCAACCATCTCTGAAAACTGGGGCCTCTCCTCTGGGTGTGTGGTGCCGGCGCTGGGAGGGCAGCTGTGCCAGGCACGGCCTCACCGGACAGGCAGGCGGTGGTGTCAATCCATTTGAGCAGCTGCCCGACGCTCAGCTCGCCGCGCTGGTTGGTGTGGCAGGGCAGCACCAGCTGGCTCATCTGCACCTCCGTGGGGTTCCGGTAGCCTTCGTCCTCTGCCATGTTGTTGTTCTCAGTGCGTGAGGCCGACTTCCGGGATGCACGGTTGGAGAACACGGAGGCCAGGCCCTGGGGAACAGATGAGGCGGTCAGCTCACAGCAGGGTCTCCAAGATCTGCCAGTCCCTGAGACCCCAGGGCCACCCACCATAAGACCCCAACTCCAAGAGTGGCCACCACCTTCCAGCCCAGGGTCTCAGACCCCCAGGGGCTCTCTGGATGCCCTTATGCCCAGCTTCCTTTTGGCCAACAATTCCGTGTTAACATAACCTTGGACCCGAAGGAGGGGGCTGGGAGAGAGGGATGCAGCAGAGAATTAATTCAGCTGGTGGGCCAGCTTATTCAAGTTTTGCCTCAGATTCTCCTTCATTCTGGAAAGATTCCCCCTGTAGTGAGCCCTACAGCAGTAAAGCCTGGGATTTGCTCCTATTTCATCCTATAAGAGCCCCTTCCTTGGGCCCCTCATTCTTCAGATGACATCAGTAGCAGCATCTCTGCTGGGTGCTCATCCGTCATCAGCTCTACTGACTGGGAGGGCTCTGGGCGGTCACTGACCAGCTGGCTGATCCAGACCAGGGCTGGAATAGCTGCCAGCTGGAGAACCAGCAGAGAAAGTCCTCAAACTCATGAGTTAGAGGAGGAGTTTCTGCCCAGGGCCCAGCTTGTCTCACTCACCAGGCAGCAGAGGTGAGGAGTGCCTAGCAGTCCCCTGGATGGGGCGGGATGAGGAAGGGCAGCCAAACTGCCGTCCTATCTCTCTCATGACACTGTGAACAGAGGTGGGGACGCCTGCCTGCGTGAGAAAAATGACAGGAGGGACGGGCATAGGGGTTCCAATTTCCATGGCCAATGCCAATTGTGGTGATGATAAGTCACCGCTAACATTTATAAAGTGCTTATTAACTATCAGATACTTGTCTAAGCACTTTACAAGTACTAATTCAAATGTTATCCATACAACAAACCTCTGAAAGAGGTACATTATTATCCTCATTTCAAAGATGAGGAAACTGGGACTTCCCTGGCGGTCCAGTGGTTAAGACTTCACCTTCCAATGCAGGGGGTGCAGGTTCAATCCCTGGTCGGGGTGGGGGTGGGGCCTCGTGGCCAAAAAGCCAAAACATAAAACAGAAGCAATATTGTAACAAATTCAATTTTAAAAAAATAGATGAGGAAACTGAAGCCCAAGTAAGTGCCAAGCCCAGCTGTGACCCACAGAGTCTGAGGTCCTACCCATCACACTACACTGCCTGCAGGACCTCCTGGGGCCTGAGATGAGGAATCTAGGGCCCTGGATGCGGATTCAGCAGCAAAGAGTGCTATGACCCGATGTTGATCCTGCCACTGCTGCAGGACGGGGGCAGTGACGGCTCGGGGCAAGGATGGGTCTCATTCTGGGAGTCTATACCCTTTGGATAACTCCCTTCACAAGGATCCCGTAGCTAATTCAGTAAATTCAAAACACACCGAGTTAACTTGTTTAGGTCACTGACCCCCTAAGAGGCAGAACTGGGATTTGAACCAAGCCAGTCTGACCCAGAACAGCTTGTGGGTTCCCAGACAGGCAGCTCATTCCCAAGAGTCCCTGGGTACCAGGCTCAGTGCTAGGGACTGAAAGGAGAGAGAGGGGGGCAGCTGCGCCAGGAGCTCGCAGCCTGGGTGGAGGCCTGCGGATGCCAGGCTGTTGCAGGCAGCTCCCAGGCCGCTGCAGTCCAAGCATCAGGACCCGTCACCATGGTAACCACTGCCAAGGCATTTCCGGCCGGGTGTGCATTGGGGGCCTGCTTGGATGTGGATGCGGGCGGCTGGCTTTCTGGGTGTGGGAGACAGTAGAGGAAGGCGGCAGGCAGACTCCGTTCACCCACACTCTTCCCAACCCCTCCCATGGCTAGAGGTTCTGGGCAGAACATTCCAGAAAGAAGCCCTGGAGAAAGCTAGGGCAATGGGGGAGGTAAAATGCAGAGGGTAAGGGGGCAGAAGAAAAGTAGAGCATGTGGAGTTTCTGGGCAGTTCTGTATGTGCACACAGGGAAGCCCCCCCAGCACAATGTCCCTGCTTTAAAAGCCTATTCTCATCTACTGCCACTGGATCCTCACGAGGCAGGCAGAGGGTGAAAACCGTTTACCCCACTTTACAGATGAGGAAAGTGAGGATGGAAAAAGCCCTAGACCAGCAGTCAGGACATCTGAATTCCAATCCTCTCTGCTTCCCACCTAGCCCATACCCACTCCTACCAGCCTCCTATTTCCTGTTGTGCAAAACAAAAGTCCCATCCACTGGACTCTACATGCCTGGAGGCAGGATCTTTGCCTTACCCATTTGTTCATTCATTCATTCACTCATTCATTCACCGAGCACCTCCTCTGTATTGGACCCTCCCCCAAACACTGAGCATATAAGAGAAATTGGGCCAATCCTTTGCGAAGCTCCTACTCTAGTGCTCATGCTTAGAAGTACCTGGCACAGGGACTTCCCTGGTGGTGCAGTGGTTAAGAATCTGCCTGCCAATGCAGGGGACACGGGTTCGATCCCTGGTCTGGGAAGATCCCACATGCCACAGAGCAACTAAGCCCGTGCACCACAGCTACTGAGTCTGTGCTCTAGAGTCCGTGAGCCACAACTACTGAGCCCACGTGCTGCAACTACTGAAGTCCGCGTGCCTAGAGCCTGTGCTCCGCAACAAGTGAAGCCACAGCAATAAGAAGCCCACGCACCGCAACAAAATGTAGCTCCCGCTCGCCGCAACTAGAGAAAGCCCGTGCGCAGCAGCGAAGACACAACACAGCCAAAAATCAATCAATAAATAAATTAATTTTTTTTAAAAAAGAAGTACCTGGCACACAGTAGGACCTCATCAAAGGTTTGTAAAGGAATGTCTAGAGGCAGACTTGAGTTCAAATCCTAGCCCTGCCCCTCATGTGCTATGTGATCCTGAGCAAGCCCCTCCCTTCCTGAACCTCATCTGTCACTCACCAGGCAGGGGCAGAGGGAGACTGCCAGTCCTCAAGATATCCTACCCGTGATGCCAGGATTCTGGGATCTAATCCTGCAGGGCTCTGGCATGGCCAGCTGAGCTTTCCAATGAGGAAGCTAAGGAGCCCGGTTACCTGTCAGGCAGGAAATACTGTACTCTGAGCAGGGCTGAGCTCCCACCCCACTTCCCCCCCCCCCCCCCCCCCGCCACTTCCCCCCTTGGTGTCCATACATTTGTTCTCTACATCTGTGTCTCTATTTCTGCCCTGCAGACCTCCACGTCACCCCAGTGGGCTCCTCGACCTCCCATCTTGGTCCTCTCACTTCACATTTCCTACAATCCGGGAAGTGGTCGGCTGTTATCACTTCCGCATGTTTCCTGCCTTCCCGCCTCTGGGTTTTTGCCCAAGTTGGAATGCCACCCCCCCGCCCCCCAACACACATACAATTCTTCAAGGTCGGTCTTGCTTTGCTCCAGCGCCCACAGGAATCCAAGTCGTCTGGATCCCCCCCCCCCCCCCCCCCCGGCAAGCTAAGGAACAAGCCCCACTGTGCTGTGCTCCCACTTCCCTCAAAGAGAGGAGTGCAGTGCCCCTGGGCTGGAGCATGCGCAGGGAGGCAAAGCACAGCCTCTCAGACTCCAACTCCTCCCTTGGGCTCCAAGGCAGTCTGCCACGTCAGGGCAGGCAAGGCCAGGCCTCCTTCTAATCCCATGGTGGGCAGGCATCCAGCCCGGGAGGCAGGGGCGTGTGTGGCCCAGGCAGGATTTTGCCAATAAGGCCCCAGAGCCGAGCCATTCCTCTCAGGGCCAGTCACGGGGAGAGCAGAGGCCCTGGTCAGAGTTAGGGCCTGGGGCAGCCAGGCAGGCTGAGCCAAGACAGCTGACAGGGAGGACAGAGCCTGCACGAAGTTGGAGAGGGCATCTAAGGGCCAGGGACATGCGCTCTCAGACGGTAGCCATGCCAGGGGCTGGCTTCCAGCCGCAACAGACCTGGCCAGATTTGATAATCCCAGACTAGGCCCCAGTTGGCTACACTGTGGTCTCTGTGTCCCTTCTCCTCAGCCAGAGGCATGTGACAGAACGGCTGGGTCAGAGCAAGAAAGGCCACTTTGCTCAATCCCTTCACACCTGGGGAAACTGAGGCACACAGAGGGAAAGGCTGGTCCTGGTAAAGCCCCCTAGGCCAGGGCTCCTTCTGGGCAATTTAACAACAGGCCACACTACAGACTTAATCTGGATTTCCTCCCTCCCCCAAGTAGCCAAGTCTCAGTGACCCAACCTCCTTAAAGTCTCAGTCTAGCCCCCCTGCCCTGATGTGCTCAGGCCCCCACACTGCTCAATCACTGGGTTATTTCCACAGCCAGTCCACAGGCCTCCAAGTAGCTCTCCACCTCCTTCCAGGCCTCTATGCAACACTGGAAGGATCTTTCCAAAACCCAAAGCCACCAACTAGACAACCACAACCTACAGCGTCCTGCCCTGCAGGGAGGCTGGACTCAGTCCTTGCAACTGGGACTTCGTTCTGTGCCTTAGGACCACACAGACTTTTCTGAAGAGCAAGCCTGAGCAGGCATCTCCCCTGCTCAAGACTCCTCGATGGCTTCCTGCTGCTCTCAGGATCGAGGCCCTACTCTGTAGCTGCTGCCACTGTCCCTGCAGCTGCTCTCCCAGCTCCAGACCACACTCGGTTCCTCAGAGCACGCTCTCACCCCACCTCCATTCCTCTGCCACATGGGCACTGCCTCTGCCTAGGATCCCTTCACCTGCGCTACCTGCCAAGTGACTGCTTCCTCCTCCTCCCTCTTCAGCACCTCCCCCTGCCTTTTCCCCCAGGGAGAGCTAGGGCCTCCCTGGCCCCCACAGCCTTACTGTCTCCACACGGCACTGACCGAGCTGTGTAGTCACTGATTCAGAGCCACCTGCCCCAGCAGACAGGCACTCCCACAGGACAGGGATGGAGTCAGGCCTGGCACAGAGCAGGTGCCAAATAAACGCCTATGGGAGAGGAAAAGGGTGATGACAAGGGCGGCCTAGGAGCTGAGACTTGATGACGAGGACCATCTGAGGTACAGGGAGGACTGCAGAACAGCAGAAAG